CGGCCAGGGGCGGGGCCGGGCCCAGGGGTGGGTCTGGGTCCAGGAGGCGGGTCCGGGTCCAGGGGGCAAGCGGGGCCTGCCACTGTGGTGCCCACCCGCTCAACCGTGCCAGGAGCTGCTTTGTAGAGCCCAGGAGGTCAGGGGCAGGCTCCTGGAAGACCAGGCTTGATGGTCCCTAAGAGGCCTAGGTTGCAGACAGTGGGGCGGGGATGTTGAAAAGAAGAGCTCTCGGGGACACTGGGCTGGCCATGAGTGATAGAGTCCCAAGATGCCAGGGATTCAGTGCAGGCTAGTGACATTCAATCTGCATTAGGGGATGTGTGTGGGCAGGTGTGGGAACCACAGAGGGAGCACAGTCAAGGTCACCTTTTGGGGGTGGCTAATGGCAGAGGCCCAGATGTCAGGCATAGGATGCTCTGGAAGGACTTCCAGGTCACAGGAATAGCCTGGTGAAGGTGGTTGTTGGCAGGCCACGTTTCTGGTTTATCAAGTTGCCTCAGAAAGGTTGAGCTGCACCATGGGTTACACAGCCAGCAAGGCAGCATTGCCCCCCCTTCCCCCTGGCTTGGAACACACGGTCCCTTCAGAAGTCACTGTCAGCCTAGGCCTGGCCTCCTGTGTGCACTGCTGTCCTGGCCCACTCCTCTGGTCCGATTCTCTCTCCTGCATGTGCATGGCAGGCTCGCTCTGCAGTCACCCTGGGACGTGTCCCTGGTGGGCTGGCCAGGGTTTGAGGTGAGACAGGGAATGGGGCAGGGCAGCATGGTGAGTTTGTTCTGGAGCTGGATGGCTCCTTCATTCGGGCCTGTCCTTCACCTCCTGGAGCTTTGAGCTGGCCACCACCATGGACAGTGAATGTTCTCTGCACAGTGAGTGTTCTGTAGCAGATAGGAGGGTGGTCACGCTGGTTTACACTCACAGCTCTCTGTGATCCATACAACAGGGTTCGGCCAGCTGGAGACATTTGCTTAGCGGGGAGTGGGACTGGGGAGGGAGGGAGTGAGGTCTTGCCCCTTGTGGGGTATGACCTGGGGCAGCAATGGGCTTGACAGTGCCAGTGTTAAGAGGCTGGTGTCCGAGGGCCTGGCCGGCATGACCACCATCTTCCGTGGCCCACAGACCTGCACGTGGGCATCACCAAGAGGCTGAAGTCGGTGGAGGTGCTGGAGGGCCAGAGCTGCACCTTCGAGTGTGTCCTGTCCCATGAGAACCCCAGCGATGTGGCCATATGGACAGTTGGCGGGAAGACAGTGGGTGGCTCTGGCCGCTTCCGGGCCACACGCCAGGGCCGCAAATACACCCTGGTTGTTCAAGATGTGGCTCCTGGAGATGCTGGGGAGGTGGTGTTCTCCGTGCGGGACCTCACCTCCAAGGCCTCCCTCATCATCAGAGGTGGGCACCGTGTGCAGGGATGGGGGCTTGTCTCCACTGGGGTGAGGGTGGAGTGGGGTCTCGGGCCAGAAACGGTGCTTCTGGGGACAGTCCCCCAGTCCCCGGGGAGCTCCCCTGTTGGAGGCCCAGAAGCACCTGCTGGGGTGCAAGGGGTGTCTGGTCATCTCAGAGAGCTCACTCTGTGGGGCGAGAGCCTCCAGTCTGTGGGCAGGAGCAGGGTTGGGGGTCTGACAGCATGGTGGCCCCTAGGGCTCACTGCTCACTGAGCTAGTGAAATCGCCATTGGCATTCCTAAGCTTGTGTACGTGGTATAAATACTGGTGCAGGTGGGTGATATTCAATTCACAGCTGGCAATGGCGGTGGCCACACTTTGAGTCTTGGGGCTCTGAGTGATACCAAGGTGTGAGGGTCTGTGGTCTCATATCTCCCCTCCCAGGCCCCTGCCTTGTGACTGTGGGGCCTCTTGCACTCCAGACCCTGAGGCCCCAGAAGGTCCTGTGGTCTCCACCTCTGTAGTGCTTGCCCTGCCCTCACTCTAAGCACGGCTGGGGTGTGGCCATGCCTCACGGGGGCTGTTCTGCTCTCTGCTCTCTTCAGAGAGGCCGGCAGGTATCACGAAGCCTCTAGAAGACCAGCAGGCTGCTCCGGGTGAGGATGTGGTGATGAGCTGTGAGCTGTCTCGGGCCGGGACCCCCGTGCGCTGGCTAAAGGACGGGAAGGCCATTCGCAAGAGTCAGAAGTATGACCTGGTCACGGAAGGCACTTGGGCCACTCTGGTGGTCCGTGCGGTGTCGCTCAAGGATTCAGGAGAATACACGTGTGAGACAGAAGCTTCCAAGAGCACAGCGAGTCTCCGTGTGGAAGGTGACCCCACAGGAGACCCTGGGATGGGTCCCCTGGCCTCTGTCCCTCCCTCCCTGCCCATGGTGGGGGCTGTTCCCTGTCCGGAGGGGCTGGCATGGGGTCTGCACAGCCCTCAACCCCCACTTCTTCCCACTGCCTCCCAGAAAAGGCCAACTGGTTCACAGACGAGCTGACCGACCTGCATGTGGAAGAGAAGGGCACAGCTGTGTTCACGTGCAAGACAGAGCGTCCCGCAGCTGTGGTGATCTGGCGCAAGGGCCTCTCGGAGCTGCATGCCTCTGGGAAGCACGCACCCAGCCAGGAGGGCCTGACCCTGAGGCTCACCATCAGCGCCTTGGAGAAGGCGGACAGCGACACCTACACCTGTGACATCGGCCAGGCCTGTTCCCAGGCCCGGCTCCTGGTGCAAGGTGGGGCCTGGTGCCATGCTGGCCGGGGGTGTGGTTGGGAGTAAGCTTTGTTCAAAGTGGGCTTGGAGGCTGTCAGGGACCAGCCTCAGTTTCCCCATCCCTGGGAGCTTGGCCCTGGGTGGTCTCGTCTCTGAGGTCCTGCTAAAGGGACACAGTGTGAATGAGCACGTGTCCTCATGAATTCACGCAGTTGTTTGCTCGGAGCCTGTGTGCTGGAATGTGCCTGGCCCCCACACCGGGGCTCTGCAGGGAGTGTGGCCTGGGGATGCCTCCAGGTGTGAGGAGTAACAGTTGCACCTGCCAGGCGGCATGAATGCTATTCTCCCACCTCCCAGATGGGAAAGTGGGGGCCTGATGCAGTCTGTGGTTGGCCCAGAATCATAGGGCATATTGATGTCCAGGCAGGATGGTGCACTCCCCTCCCAACGCCAGGGTCCAGCATTCAGGGAGGTCAGGAGGAGGGCCCACCCGGGGGCGGGGGGCTCTGTCCGTGGGAAATAACAAAAGAACAACAAAGAAGCCTTGCTGTGGTTTTTTTCCTGTCCTCTTCTGTGAAATCCAGCAAGCCCACTGAGCTCACACCACATCCACTCTGTAAGCACAGTAGAATCCCTGGTTGGTCACAAAGCTCGTACTCATGCTGAATCCAGGAAACATCAGCTAAAGTGAGAAACACGCTGTCACACAGCATCCTCTTCAGAGACAATACACACTTGCCCATCTGGCTGTGCAGCCAGAGCCTTTTCTTTGCGCACCAGTCTGTGACTCAGTTTCCTTGTCTGCCCTGCACACGCCACCCACCAATGGGCCATCCACGAGTTCCTTTTGTGGTCCCATAGATGTAAGACACCTGCAGGTGCAGAAGAAGGCTGGAGACAGTCCCTCTCCATCATTAGGACTTCTCTCTGAGCCTTCCCCACACCTAGGTCAGCTGCAGAAGTGGGTTTTTTCACGTCGCCAACCTTCCAAAGCATTTAAGTTTTCACATGGCCACAACTGTTTTCACACTCCTACTTCTTTTTTTAAAAATATTTTTTAATGTTTATTCATTTTTGAGAGAGAGCGAGCGAGCATGAATGGGGTAGGGGCAGAGAGAGAGGGAGACACAGAATCCGAAACAGGCTACAGGCTCTGAGCTGTCAGCACAGACATGGGGTTTGAACCCAGGAGCTGTGAGATCATGTCCTGAGTCAAGGTTGGATGCTTAACTGACTGAGTCACCCAAGGGCCCTCCTATTTCTTCTTTTAATCCATGATTTAATTGCATTCTGTGACCTTAGGGATGGACGTAGGCAGGTGTGGAGAAGAGTTTGGGGAGAGGAGGGCTCACTCTGACCCACCCCATGTGCTCTGAGAAGGACCCCAGAAGTGGGCTTGGGGTTCATCAGTGGAGCCAAAACTCGCATGTGTGGACAGTTGAGCTCTGATACATTTGCTGTGCTCTGGGTTTCATCATTCTGAGCCTTACTCAGTCCAGCTGTGAGCCCACCCCAAGTCTTGGGGAGTGCCCCTTTCCCTTGGCAGCTGGCTGCAAGGGACCGTGACTTGCCGGTCTGTGCCTTGCAGGCCGGAAAGTTCTCATCACAGAGGATCTGGAGGACATGGAGGTGCGTGAGGGCTCTTCGGCCACCTTCTCTTGTCGCATCTCCCCTGCCGACTATGAGCCTGTCCACTGGTTCCTGGACAAGACGCCCCTGCACCCGAATGAGCTCAATGAGATTGAGGTTCAGCCAGGTGGCTACCACGTGCTCACCCTGCGGCAGCTGGCGCTCAAGGACTCAGGCACCATCCACTTTGAGGCAGGGGACCAGCGGACCTCAGCTGCCCTTCGGGTCACAGGTGGGCTGTGTGCCCAGTGCCGGCATGGGGCCTGGTCCATAAGGCTGAGGGTGCAGCCTTGTAGAAGGCAGATCTTGGCCATGTGCAGAGCATGGTCCTGGGGCTCACAGACAAGGTGCCCGGCCCACAGATCTCGGGGAGGTGGGGCTCTTTGAAGGTGATTGCGGCATGTGGTATGCAGAACTGATCCCTCAGTCTCCAAAGTGTGGGCTGGGCCATGCCAGGCATGCTCTGTATCCCCGGCAGCCCGTTTGTGACCCCAGCCTCATGGGGCAGGGGCCCACACCTCCTGAGCTTTCCTCTGCACCTCCAGAAAAGCCAAGTGTCTTCTCCCGGGAGCTCACGGATGCCACGGTCACAGAGGGGGAGGATCTGACCTTGGTCTGTGAGACTACCGCCCCAGACAGCCCCGTGTGCTGGACCAAGGATGGAAAGACCCTGCGGCCATCAGCCCGGTGCCAGCTGAGCCAGGAGGGCCACCGGGCCCAGCTGGTCATCAAGGGTACCACTGTGCAGGACGGTGGGCGCTACAAGTGTGAGGCCGGGGGCTCCTGGAGCAGCTCCATTGTCAGGGTCCATGGTGAGTTCCTGGGCTCATGTCCTACTCTCTGTGTGGGGGAGCCTGTGGCCCCCCTTGTGCATGTCCAGGTGTCTGCTGCTTTGGTAGAGTTGACCATCGTCCACCTGTGTCTCCTGACCAGCAGCGTCTGACTTGCTTCATTCCTATGTCTTGTTTTCTGACATCTCTGTGTCCCCTCCTCCTGGCTTGGTTCATCTCCAAGTGTCTCAGCATAGACCACATGACAAATACCATGGATCCACAGACCAGTTAAACCATGGGCATTTACTGTGTCCCAGTCCTGGAGGGGGAAGTCTGAGATCCAGGTGTGGGCGGGGCTGTTTCCCCACTGAGGCCTCTCTCCTTGGTTTGCACACACCGCCCCCTGCCTATGTTCTGGCTTTGTTCTCCGTCTGTGTCCTCAGCTCCTATGTGATCGCTCAGATACGTGGGATTCGGCCCATCCCAATGACCTCAGGTTACCAAAATCACCTCTGTAAAGACTCCATCTCCAAACACAGTCACATCCTGAGGTTCTGGGGGTTGGGGCTCCAGCATATGAATTAGGGTGGGGGACACAGTTCTCTTCCCAACCGTTTGCCCCCCCCGCCAGAGGACAGAGTTTTGGAGTTCGCTGCCCATAACCCCCAGTGTAGAAAGGGTGAGGTGGGCCTGCCTGAGCCCTCTGGCTGCTGTGTCCTCAGCTGTCCCCAACCCCAGCAGCCCTCAGCTGGGGTGCAGGATGGAGGGGTCAAGCCAAGCCCGTGCCTGCTTGCAGCACGGCCGGTGCGGTTCCGTGAGGGGCTGAAGGACCTGGAGGTGCCGGAGGGTGGAGCTGCCACACTGCGCTGTGTGCTGTCATCCATGGCCGCGCCTGTGGAGTGGCGCCGTGGAGATGAGGTTCTGCGGCCCGGAGGCAAGTACAGCCTGCGTCAGGAGGGCGCAGTGCTGGAGCTGGTGGTCCGGGACCTGCGGCCCCAGGACACCGGGCAGTACTCCTGCCACTTCGGGGACCAGATGACCTTGGCCATGCTCACAGTGAAGGGTAAGCATGCGTGCCTGCCTTGCCCACATGCTCCTTTCATTCCTGTGGGAGGTCAAAGGTGACATTCCCTGTTGGGCCCTGTTGTAGCCCTGCCTGCTGAGTTCATAGGGAGACTGAGAAGCAAGGAGGCCTCAGAAGGGGCCACAGCCACGCTGCGCTGTGAGCTGAGCAAGGAGGCTCCCGTGGAGTGGAGGAAGGGGTCTGAGACCCTCAGAGCCGGGGACAGAGTCAGCCTGAGGCAGGACGGGACCATGTGTGAGCTGGAGATCCGTGGCCTGGCCATGGCAGATGCTGGGGAGTACTCGTGTGTGTGTGGGCAGGAGAGGACTTCAGCCATGATGACCATCAGGGGTAAAGACCACGTGTGGCCAAGCAGTCGTGATTTGGTGTCCAGTTGACTTTGTGATGTCCATCTGCTCTCATTCCATGTTCATGTTCTTTCTCTCCCACATTCTCTGGTGTCACCCTCCACCCGTTACTCTGTGGAATCTCTCCCCTTCCTGGGCTGTTGTGTGAACTGTGAGAAGCCAGTATCCCAGCCACTTACCACTCCTTGGTCACTGCTGGTCCTGTTGTTCAGTAGAAGTCTGTCTTGTCATCTGTCCCGTCATGTACCACCACCCCCCAAAATCTCCAGAGAATCTGATCTTCTATGTCTGACTTCCCAGCCCTGCCTGCTGAGTTCATAGGGAGACTGAGAAGCAAGGATGCCACGGAAGGGGCCACAACCACTTTGCACTGTGAGCTGAGCAAGGAGGCCCCTGTGGAGTGGAGGAAAGGGTCTGAGACCCTCAGAGCTGGGGGCAGAGTCAGCCTGAGACAGGATGGGACCATGTGTGAGCTGGAGATCTGTGACCTGGCTGTGGTGGACGCTGGGGAATACTCATGTGTGTGCGGGCAGGAGAGGACATCGGCCACACTGACTGTCAGGGGTAAGGATTTTGTGTGGTCATGTGGAGCAGTGTCTCCATGTCTCTGTGTCATGTCCTGTTGTTCTTCCCTGGTCACCATAGGGTCCTTCTGCCTCTCTGCCTCTGTCTCCTGCATCCTGCAGCATGAGTCTCTAGCATCTGCTTGTGTGAGGCTCATCCCAAATAAACTGCAGAGAATAAGGTTCTTTCTGCCCTCAGGGGGTTACATCTCAGGGAGAAATGGGGGGCATCCTACACTACAACTGAGGATTACAGACTTCATGAGTTCTCTGGAGGGAACGTGCCACGGAGGAGCTAGGAACTAGATCGAAACTTGGCCCTCAACGCAGCGATACTGAGAGGCTGACTGAGGAGGGGAGCCAGGAAACACATGCAGGGACATGGAAGAGATGTGGGGGTGAAGTGTGGATGTGGAGGGTGGATGGAGGCAAGGTCAAGGTGTGCAGAGTGAGGTGGGGTGAGGTGAGGTGAGTTGGGTTTGGAGGTAAGATGTGGTGAGGTAGACGTAGACTATGAGGTGAATCATGTGAGGTAGGTGTGGAAGGTGAATGAGGTGAGTTTATGTAGAAAGTGTGTGAGGTGAAGTGAGGTTAGATTGGGTGTGTAGCGTGAGTTGAGGGGAGGTCTGTGTGTGTGGGGGTGAGTTGAGTTGAGGTGACATGAAGTCTGGGTATAGATGCAGAGATGAAATGAGGTGATAGGTGTGGAAGTGAGATTAGATGGGTGTTGAGGTAAGATGGATGGATGGGTGTGAAGGTGAAGGGTGTTGAGGTGAGGTGAATGAGAAAAATGAGGTGAGGTGAGGTGATTGTGGAGGTGAGGCAGGTGTGGAGGTGAGGCGAGGTGGGTGTGGAGGTGAGGCGAGGTGGGTGTGCAGGTGAGGTGAGATGGGTGTGGAGAGAAGTGAGGTGGGTGTGGAGGGGAGGGGAGGTGATTGTGGAGGTGGGGGGTGTGGAGGTGAATTGAGGCAGGTCTGGAGATGAGGCAAGGTAGATGAGGTGAAGTGGGTGTAGTGGTGAGATGAGGAAGGTGAGGTGAAGTGGGTGTGGAGGTGAGATGAGGTGATTGTGGAGATGAGGCAGTTGTGGAGGTGTGGCAAGGCAGGTGTGGAGGTGTGGCAAGGCAGGTGTGGAGGTTATGTGGGTGTGGAAGTAAGGTGGGTGTGAAGGTGAGGTGAGGTGATTGTAGAAGTGAAGTGGTGTAGAGGTGAGGTGAGATGGATGAGGTGAGGTGATGTGAGGTAAGGTAGATCAAGAAGGTGAGGTAGGTGTGGACATGAGGTGAGGCAGGTATGGGGGTGAGGTGGGTGAGGAAGGTGAATTGAGGTGGATGAGGTCAGGTGAGGTGGATATGGAGGTGAGGTGGGTGAGTGTGGAAAGTGAGATGAGGTGGGTGAGGAAGGTGAGGTGGGTGTGGAGAGGTGAAGTGGATATGGAGGTGAGGTAAGGTGGGTGTGGAGATGAGGTGAGGTGGATGAGGTAAGGTGATGTGAGGTAAGGTGGTCAGGAAGGTGAGGTGGGTGTGGACATGAGGTGAGGCAGGTATGGAGGTGAGGTGAAGCAGGTGTGGAGGTGACAGTGGGTATGGATGGAATGTGGCGGGTGACGGAGGGGAAGGTCATGTGTGCCATGCCCAGGAAGGCAGGGGGACATCCATGTGGAGGTGGGGTCCAGGTCTGATGCTGACAGGTGGGTAGGTCTGCTCACAGCATTGGCAGGAAGTCTTTTGGGAGTGGGGCATCTCAGACATGGTGGGATTCAGGATGCAGGGCAGGACAGGAGGGCTGGTCCAGGGGTTAGGGATGACAGGCCCTGTGAGGGGCAGGTGGGAGTCCCTATGCAGTGGAGCTGCCTGCCATGGGTCATCCTGCCTGCTGTCCCCGAGGCCCTGCCTCCAAAAGGCAGCTGTGTTGCCAGGTTGATATCTGTGGCCATTTCTCATTTGCTCTCTGTGTGTGTGTCTGCTCCTCTCAGGCCTGACAACCCCTACACCAAGGTCCTGGGGCCTGAGCAGGCTCTGGGAGGAACTTGTGCAGTGGTGCGAGGGGCCCAAGACCCTTGGGAATGGGGGCTCAGAACAGGCCCTGCCATGGTGTGGCTGGTGGCTCCCTGATGGGGCCTGGGTCCTCAGGGGCCCTTATGGGGGCCTGGTCACTTCCTGCAGGGAAGCAGATGAGACAAGATAGGATGAGGCCACCCCCCACATCCCGAGGGTATCCTAGGAGCACCCGGGCCCCTATGGTGCTTGAACTGTGTGGACGAACATAGCATCTTTGCCATAGGAGCACCGGGTGACCTCATGGAGCATGGGTGCCCTCTAGTCTGGGAGCAGCTGTCAGAGGCTGCGGCCATGATGTGTTCCAAGCAGGGCAGCCTGGGGTATGCGAGGTGGATGAGGGACCTGGGACCTTGAATCTAGCATAAGGTACAGTCTAAGACAGGATTGACCATGGAAGATGCTGGCAGATGTCCCCGTTGGCCACTATGTCTATCTGTTCTGTGGGCACTATGACCATTCCCATGCATGTGTCCATGTCCTGAGGTCCACTGTGGATGCCAGCTCCTCTGTCTCCCTGCTGCCCTGCCCCCACACACTGTGATCCACCCATGTGTCCATGTGTCCATTCTTTGATTTCCTATTTGCTCCAGGGTTCATTTCATTGTTGAGTGTCCACATCCTGACTTCTTAAGTTACTTGGTCTGATGCTCTCTGTGTCACCTTGTTCCTCCCCAGCCCTGCCCGCCAAGTTCACAAAGAGCCTGAGGAAGGAAGAGGCCACAGAAGGGGCCACAGCAAAGCTGCACTGTGAGTTAAGCAAGGTGGCCCCCGTGGAGTGGAAGAAGGGGTCTGAGACCCTCAGAGCTGGGGACAGAGTCAGCCTGAGGCAGGACAGGACTGTGTGTGAGCTGGAGATCCATGGCCTGGCTGTGGCAGATGCCGGGGAGTACTCATGTGTGTGCGGGCAGGAGAAGACTTCGACCACGCTGACTGTCAGAGGTAAAGATTGAGTGTAGTCATGTGGCCCTGTGGCTTGGTGTCTGCACACTGTGACTATGTCACCATCTTCTCCCTGTCAGACTCCGTGGGCATCTGTGCCTCTCCAGCTGTGTCCTCCTGGGGACTCTAGCCTTCATCTCCCCATCCAGTATTTGTCCTGATGTTTGTGTCTGGGCTTGTGTCTGTCTTTCCTGGGCCATTTGCCTCCTATCCACCCTGTGCTCCATTCACTCATTCATGCTGTGGCCCTGGGAAGTTTGTGTGGTGCTTGTGGGTGTCTTGTCCTGGACATAGAGTCCCCGAGACAGTCTGGAGTCCTCCTGATCCTTGACTCTCTCCAGCCCTGCCCGCCAAGTTCACAAAGAGCCTGAGGAAGGAAGAGGCCACAGAAGGGGCCACGGCCACTCTGCACTGTGAGCTGAGCAAGGAGGCCCCCGTGGAATGGAGGAAGGGGTCTGACACTGTCAGAGCTGGGAACAGAGTCAACCTGAGGCAGGACAGGACCGTGTGTGAGCTGGAGATCTGTGGCCTGACCATGGAGGATGCTGGGGAGTACTCGTGTGTGTGTGGGCAGGAGAGGACATCAGCCACACTGACCGTCAGAGGTAAAGATTGTGTGTAGTCATGTGGCCCTGTGGCTTGGTGTCTGCACATTGTGACTATGTCACCATCTTCTCCCTGTCAGACTCCATGGGCATCTGTGTCTCTCCAGCTGTGTCCTCCTGGGGACTCTAGCCTTCATCTTCCCATCCAGTATTTGTCCTGATATATGTATCTGGGCTTGTGTCTGTCTCTCCTGGGCCATTTGCCTCCTACCCACCCTGTGCTCCGTTCACTCATTCATGCTGTGGCCCTAGGCACTTTGTGTTGTGCTTGTGGGTGTCTTGTCCTGGACATAGAGTCCCCGAGACAGTCTGGAGTCCTCCTGATCCTTGGCTCTCTCCAGCCCTGCCCGCCAAGTTCACAAAGAGCCTGAGGAAGGAAGAGGCCACAGAAGGGGCCACGGCCACTCTGCACTGTGAGCTGAGCAAGGAGGCCCCTGTGGAGTGGAGGAAGGGGCCCAAGACCCTCAGAGCTGGGGACAGAGTCAGCTTGAGGCAGGACGGGACCATGTGTGAGCTGGAGATCCGTGGCCTGACCATGGAGGATGCTGGGGAGTACTCGTGTGTGTGTGAGCAGGAGAGGACATCGGCCACACTGACCGTCAGAGGTAAAGACTGTGTGTGGCCACCTGAGTGACTTCCCCCTGCCTCTTGGTCTTTGCTCCCCTATGTCTCTCAATGTTGCTGTCTCTCCAGGACCACACGATAGCCATGTGGAGCATCCCACAGTCTCACACTAAGAACACACTGGTCAGTCCTGTCCAGGCCCCGGGGTGGATGGTACGGGGACCCCCAGGAAAACATGTACAGATGGGCATCACAGTCCAGGAGAATGGCCCGGGGCTCCTGGCCTGTGATCGGGCTGCGGATGGGCACGCATCCTGGGCCCACGTGTGGGGCTGGGAGCATGTCACACACATGACGAATGTGTGAAGGAGGACTGAGGGCAGCATTGGGGTGTTCAGGGATAAGGTGGCCAGACAGGCCAGGCCCTCCTTTGTCTGGTGACAGGGTTTGATTGCCCTCTGAAGGGCTCTGTCCCACTTGGCTTGGGCTGCAGGACAAACACTGTCACGGGTCCCACACTCGTAGTGGCTGGAAGTCTGAATCCAGGTGTTGGGACCCAGGAGCATCCGTCCTTAGAGTGTACACATTGTCTCCTCCCATGTCCTCACGTGGCTGTCCCTTTATTTGTGTCCTGATCCCCTCTTGTTAGGATGCCAGCATGATTAATGACCTGCCCAGTGACCTTCTTTACCCTAATTACCCCTCTGAAGGGTAATCGTATTTCCATATGTGCTCATATTCTGAGGTCTCGGGGGCACAACTCCAGGATACAATTTGCTGGTGGGACAAGTTTGTGCGTGACACTCTGCCCTCTTACATCCCTGGAAATGCATGTCCTTCCCACGTGCAGTGTATGCACACCTCGTCCCCAAGGCTCCAAAGCCTTACCTGAGTCCAGTGTCACCACAGAATCCAGAGTGTGATGGAAGCATGTGCACCAGGTTTGGGTGACACTCAAGGTGGCTTCCTCTCAGCCATGAACCTGCGAGGTCAGACTGCACACCTCCCAAACGCAGCCGCAGGACATGTACCAGATGCGCATTCCTGTTCCGAAGGGGAGAAACGGAAATGAGGGAAGAGGTCCCTGGTCCCTGGAGACACGACACTGGGCAGGAAAGACTCCTGGATTTTAAGGCTGGACAAGGAGCCTCTGGCTCAATGCTCTGTCCTCTGGGCCCACAAGTGGTGCCGTGGGCCGTGGGTAGATGTGGCCTGGCCTGTGGATCCCATGCCGTGGCAGCCCTGCAGCCTCTGAATTTCCCTTGCTTTCCTTCTTTGCCCTTCTTGACGAGTGATACGTGTCCACAGTTGGGCAGCTCCATGGGTGCATCCCGTAGGACCCCTGGAAGTCTGATGGTTTCCTCCATTTCAGCCTTCGCCTCTCTGATTCAGGCGTGGCTGTAGCATTTCTGCATGCTCTCCAAAACTTTGTTGGTCTCCCATGCAGCTCTCAGGAGCGTGGCTCATCAGACCAGCCTTCCGCACACCCTGCCTGGGCGACCCTACCTCTGTTCCCACTTCTGCCCTGCTCTTACCTGTGTTTCACCACAAGGAGTGAGAAGAAATCAGGCTGCTCCCTCAACTCTCTTCTTGGAGATCTCTCAGCTAACCAGTGCAAGTTCACTTCTCACGAGGCCCACCTTCCACAGATTCTGGGCAGAATTCATCCACCCACAGACTGGGCAGAATTCATCCAGGTTCCTTGCTACTTCCTACAGATACTACTTTTCCTGAAAGTGTCCAGTCAGCTGTTTCTCATTGCCGATTTGGGCCTCACCAGAAGTGCCGTAATGCCTATACTGACCCCTGCTCCCATGATCTACTCCAGGCAATCTAGATCTATCCAGCTGTCTGTCAAAACCCAGCCTTCACTCAACATCAGTTCCAAAGCTGGTTCTAGAACTTGAGGTCTTTGTTATGGCAGGAACTGCTCCTGCTATCAAAACAGGCATGACTGAGATATAGAGAAGTGGCCTTGACATTGGAAACGTGTAGTCTCCCAGTCCTGGAGGCTGGAGTCTGGGATCCAGTCAGGACAGGGCTGGTTCCTCCAGAGTCCTCTAATTGGCTTGCAGATGACTGCCTTCTCATGTCCTGTGTCTTCACGTAGCTGTCCCTGTGTGTATGTGTGTGTGTGTGTGTGTGTGTGTGTCCCGATGTCCTCTTCTGATAGGGATCCAGTCATATAAGATCAGGGCCCACCCTAGTAACCCCCTTTTACCTTAACCACCTCTTTAAAGACTCCATCTCCAGCCCTGTTCTGAGGCCCCCTGGGGCCTTGACATGAATTTGGGGTACGGGAGTCACCCCACAACATGGTGTGACTAGGGTGGACACTGGTCACCTGTAACTTTAGGACCTCATTGTGCCTACAGTTGGAATTCAGGTGACAAGGGCCCAGGGGTGTGGTTAAAAGGCCATGGCTGCATCCATCATAGTCTTGGAAATCTGAGCAGGAGAGTGAGTGTCTGGTGGAGTCTGGACAAGAACATGTGAGGTGGAGCAGAGAGGGCCGAGTGTGGGTGGAGATAGTGTGCAATGAGCCTGGGTGTGGGCAGCAAGAGATGGATGCCCTGCTTTGGCTGGGAAACATGGGGTGAGAAGCAGCAGTGGAGCAGTGAATGTCATGACCACGAGGTGCCTCATGGGCATTCTTCCATGAAAGAGCCATAACGTCATGTGTGAGTGGGAGGAGCCTGGCTTCAAGCTCAGTGCAGGTGAGTCCAGAGCTGGGCTAGTACGAAAGGTCAGGGTATGAGGATATTGAGAAGACATGACACCTGGAAGGAGGCAGTCCCTGGGTAAAATGCCCCTCAGGGCAAGATGCCGGAGGCCATTGCAGTCGAACATGAGCTGATCTGCCTGTCCTCCTCCATACTTCTGCTTTGTTGATCCTGAGTGTTCACGTCATGCCCCAAATCCTCCAGAGGGATTGATGACTTCTATCCATCTGACCCTCCACAGCACTGCCTGCTCAGTTCATCCAAAATCTGAAGACCCAGGAAGCCATGGAAGGGGACACAGCCACACTGAACTGTGAGCTGAGCAAGGCAGCCCCTGTGCAGTGGAGGAAGGGGTCCAAGACCCTCAGAGCTGGAGACAGAGTGAGCCTGAGGCAGGATGGGACCATGTGTGAGCTGCAGATCTGTGGCCTGGCCGTGGCAGATGCTGGAGAGTACTCATGCATGTGTGGGCAGGAGAGGACGTCGGCCATGCTGACCATCAGGGGTAAAGACCACATGCGGCCAAGCAGAGCTGTGATCTGGTGTCCAGTTGACTTCATGACATCCATCTGCACTCATTCTGTTTTCACGTTCTTTCTCTCTCACATTCTCTGGTGTCACCTGCCCTGTTACTCCATCGAATCTCTCCCCTTCTGGGCTGTTGTGTGAACCACCGGAAGACAGCATCCCAGCCACTTACCCACTCCTTGGTCATTGCTGGTCCTGTTGTCCCATGGGACTCTGTCTTGTCCTCTGTGCTATTGTGTCCTGCCCTCACCAATCCTCTGTCCTGTGTCTGACTCGCCAGCTGTGCTAGCCAGAATCATACACATTATGAGGCTTGAGGAGCAACCAAAGAGGCCATGGCCATACTGTGCACAGGACAGCCTGAGGGAAACCACAACCCATAGTGTGTACTCAACACACTTAGTACATGGCCCATGTCCATTTATTTGTCTTTTCTGTGTTGCTTGTGTCCTGTCTCGTCCATGTGCTCAGAGACTGTGACTGTGTCTGTGTCTTTCTGACCATCCCCAGCCATGCCCGCCAAGTTCACAAAGAGCCTGAGAAAGGAAGAGGCCATGGAAGGGGCCACGGCAAAGCTACACTGCGAGTTAAGCAAGGCATCCCCTGTGGAGTGGAAGAAGGGGTCCGCGACCCTCAGAGTTGGAGACAGAGTCAGCCTGAGGCAGGACGGAAACATGTGTGAGCTGGAGATCCGTGGTGTGGCCATGGAGGATGCCGGGGAGTACTCGTGTGTGTGCGGGCAGGAGAGGACATCGGCCATGCTGACTGTCAGGGGTAAAGGTCATGTGTGGCCACGTGGGCCAGTGTCTTGGTGTCTGCATGTTGTCCATTATCGCCACCTTCTCCCTGTCAGACTGTGGGCATCTGTGTGTCTCCAGCTGTGTCCCCCTGGGAACTCCCAGCCTCCATCTCCTTGTCAAGTATTTGTTCTGGTGTCTGTGTCCAGGCTTGTGTTTGCCTTTCCTGGACTGTTTCCTCACCCACTCTGTGCTCCATTCACTCATTCGTGTTGTGGCCCTGGGCAGTTTGTGTGGTGCTTGTGGGTGTCTCGTCCTGGACATAGAGTCCCCAAGAGAGCCTGGAGTCCTCCTTGGCTCTCCCCAGCCCTGCCCGCCAAGTTCACAAAGAGCCTGAGGAAGGAAGAGGCCACCGAAGGGGCTACAGCCATTATGCACTGTGAGCTGAGTAAGGAGGTCCCCGTGGAGTGGAGGAAGGGGCCCAAGACCCTCAGAGTGGGGGACAGAGTGAGCCTGAGACAGGATGGGATGGTGTGTGAGCTGGAGATCCGTGACCTGGCCTTGGTGGACACCGGGGAGTACTCGTGTGTGTGCGGACAGGAAAGAACATCAGCCACTCTGACTGTCAGGGGTAAAAACCATTTGTGACCATGTGGACCAGTGGTTCGATGTGGGCACATTGTCACCATATCACCATCTTCTGTGTAGGACTCGTGGGCATTGGTCTCTATTCAACTGTGGTTTCAGGGTCTCCTGGATCCTTATTGTTATCCAGCACATCTCCTGCTGTTGGTGTCAGTCCTTGTGCCCCTTGTTTCTGCAAGGCCATTTGCCACCTCCTGTTGGTGCATGTGTATCTCATAAGCCCCACGGCCCTCTGCAGTTGTGGGATCCTTGTGTGGGTACCATCTTGGACACAAGTGCCCAGAGAGCCTACTGTGCTCCCTGCTTCTTGGCTGTTTCCCAGCCATGCTGGCCAGAGTCATACAAAGTATGAGGCCTGAGGAGCCACAGAAGAGGCCACAGCCACATTGTGCACAGGCTGGGCTGAGGGAAACCACAACACACAGCACATTTAGCACACTTAGCATTTGGCCCATGCCCAGTTGGATTTGTGTGTTACCTTCGCTGTTCATGTCGTGTCTTGTCTAAGTTCTCAGACAGTGATCATGTCTGTGTCTTTCTGACCATCCCCAGGCCTGCCTGCCAAGTTCACAAAGAGCCTGAAGAAGGAAGAGGCCATGGAAGGGGCCACAGTAAAGCTGTGCTGTGAGTTAAGCAAGGTGGCCCCCGTGGAGTGGAGGAAGGGGTCCGAGACCCTCAGAGCTGGGGACAGAGTCAGCCTGAGGCAGGAAGGAAACGTGTGTGAGCTGGAGATCCGTGGCCTGGCTATGGTGGATGCCGGGGAGTACTCGTGTGTGTGCGGGCAGGAGAGGACATCAGCTATGCTGACTGTCAGGGGTAAAGATCATGTGTGGCCACGTGGGCCAATGTCTTGGTGTTGCATATTGTTGCTATGTCACCACCATCTCCCTGTCAGACACCGTGGACATATGTGTGTCTCCAGCTGTGTCCCCCTGGGAACTCCCAGCTTCCGTCTCCTT